AACTTTCACTAAACGATGTGTCAGAAAAAAAAAAACCAAGTTGGACAGAAATATTATTTTAGCCATACTGCAAAATTTTCAGTTTTATTTAAAAGAGTTAGGCATGGGCTTTACATATGTAGGCTCATAAGAACTACAAAAGGCAACAAGAAGTTTCATGGGTAAGATCAAGTTCTCGGGGCCCAACTCAGCATTCACAACCAATGGCATAAATTCAGGAGCAAGTCCCTTGAAGTTAACAGAGCAAGTATAAAACTTAATGTCAAGAGAGGAGAACAAGGCCTGCCCTCCTTCGACTGAATCATCCTCATGAACTCTGGACTTTCCAAGCATTAGAGATCCTGGGAACGCTACGCGATATTACTCTGCTTTTTGTTTTGCCTGAAAACTTTAAGCAACAACACTTGGCTGAAAGAAGGCAGTTACTAATGCTTCTGTGCTGAGACTTCTGTCCTGAGCTTCTCCTGCCTCCTCGGGCACCAGGTGTGGGTTTTGGGGTAACCCCCCTACCCATCACTAAGCTAAAGTGCTCCTCTCTTGGTCACCAGCCCCTTCACCAGCCTTCTCCTCCTCACCCAGCTCCCACCCAGGAGACCTTCTCAGCCAAGACACCCTACCAACAGGGAAGCCCTGCTTCCACATGAAGGACATCAAAGAGGAGGCTGGACCAGAGCTGCTGGAGGGATGGAACCTGTCTGGAGCCCACCATGCCTGCCCACACCACAGGGCCCACTCTTCACAAGTGCTGCTGTAACTGGGTCAAGCTGTGCAGTGCCCAGACGAGGAAAGGACTTGTGCTTCCACACTGCAGAAACCTTTGTCTCCATCTTGCCACCCACTTAGAATTGTCTAGGTTGGAAGGGACCTTTCAGATATCGAGCCCAACCACATAATCAGCCTGGAGAGAGGGTGCTTTTCAAGGCAGGAGGTCCAGCGTGGAGGCAGACATGGGCTAAGAGTTGCCATGATGCCCAGTATGTCCTTCATCACCTTCCATTTCAGTAGCAGCATTGCAGAAGGCGGCGGCAGAGGAAAGACCCCATGTGTTTTGTCTTGGTCTATCTACAAGAGACCCTCTAAGTCAAATTAAAACAGGCTGGGTTACAGAAAAGAACCCAGACCCAAAGCAGGATCAGACCACATAAACACTTCGGACCCCACAGCCAAGAACACAAAGCAGGAGCAGCTGCCCTTACACAAACAAACCGTGTCGCACCCCACAGCGGCTGAGGGACAAAGAAAACCCCACGTCCTTGCCAGCCCTTTCTCCTTGTCCTACTCAAACTCCAAATACTCAACCTCCTGAACAAGAACGGTAGGCTAAGCCAGCACGCCGGCACGCAGGGTTGGGGAACTGCAGGTGGTAAAGCATCAGATAAAACTAATAACCATAAGTAGTCCTATTCTAGGTCATAAACGCCATAAATGCTAAGAAGTGGACCTGACATCCTTTCCAGTTCCCAGTAACACGCTCCATAAGATACGGAATAACCCTACTGCCTCAAGTGTCTTGGTGGAGCATTTTGTGTGTCAGGAATGATTGAGTTTTCAGCGTTCCAAACTAAGACACGTATCAGAAACTAGAGCCTCATGTCCACACAGTTCCTGCTCCAGCACCCTCAGCGCTTTGTTACGCGATGACTCAATTTAAGGGAGGGTGCCAAATGCCCAGTTACCCTTCCATCACCTCTACCCAGACACCCCACCACACCGAGGATAAGAGACAGGAAGAAAACAAACAGTTTAACTGGCAACACTTGACTCTGCTTAGCATTTTCTCCAAGCAACTCCCAAGTAAGGAACTTTAGAGGTTTGTTTTTGTTTTTTTTTTTGAGACACATCTTGACAAACGTCCAGTTACAGATTAGAGGTAGGTAAACCTCTTATTTGCGAGATCTGTAAGGTATGCCAAGTATTTAGAGCCACGGGCCGGTCCCGCACAACGACAGAGCCTGCAATACACACGACCACAGAACCAGTTTTCTGTGTGTTGCTCCACTCCGTGCCTGCAAGGTAGTACCACAAACTTGCTCTCGAGCCCCTTTCAGCCCTTCATCCAGAGCCCCTCAATGATCCTACAGGGCTCATAAGCCGCGCTAGTGGTTTGGTAACACGTTAAGAAAAGGTTTGAGGCTGTATCTTATGTCATACAGCACTCTATCAGTTCTCTCCAGCTGATGGGAGAGGAGTTCTATCACTTATCACTACGATATGACTGCTACATTGTCCTAGTGGATAACAGAAGCTCCTAAACTGCTATCTTGACAGCATTGTTCTGCCTTTCCCCCAACCCGCTCCTAAAAAGCGGTAGCTCCTTTGTGAAAAATTCAGTCACTGCAGTATTCATTCAGCGCCTTAGTAACTACTATATTTGATCTACCTTTAGAAACAATCCAAAAAAACCTCCCCTGAGCCTTAAGCAAAAGAGCTGTTCGTCTTCCACGTTAGATACACCCGAGAGCACCAGGAGCCAACTTTCCCGGTCCTGTTAGCCACCCATCAAAACCCTCCCATGCTATATGCTTCAGGGAGCTCAGGAGGGTAGTTTCACACAAGAGACCACGAGGACACCTCCCAGTGGGGCCTTGGAGCCAGAGCATGGGACACCCAGTTGGCTTGAGGTGCAACCAGGCGATAGAGCAACCCACTAAAGTCAGCCACGAGAGCCCCCAGCACACCTTACCCCGCCGTGCCAGGAGCACAGGCTGCCAGCAGACCCCTGGCCAGCACGGCCTCACACAAGAGAATTTCGACCTCTGAAAAAAAAAAAAAAATATATGTTTAAAACACCCCCCAGAAACCCCACAGTTGGGCCACCTGTGCTCTGAAAAGCAGAGATTACGCATTCCTGCGTTTGCACCTTGCTCAGCACAAAACTTTTGTCAAGCCACCAGAAGTTTTTTAAGCAACCTCAAAATCCTGAAGCAGAACAGGACCGGTTTCTCAGCCCAGACTAGTATTTACATTCGCTGTCCTTTTAAAGCCTTAGCTGGAGAGGAAACCTACACGACAGCGACTGCACAACCCAGTCTTGACAGATACCAGGGATACCTGACCTTGGAAGCCCATTTCCAACAGTACTCTCTGATCCCAAACCTGGCGAGGGGCAAAACCAAACCAAAACATCCAAATGCTTACAAGTTCACCAAATACAAAGAGTCTGAAATGCACAGAAATCCCTTGAAGGAAAAAAGTCAGCTCCAAAACCCATTTGAGGAGTGCATTCCTAGAGAGGTATGGGAGTCTCGATCCACACGGCTGTTCCATCATTTTCCGACGAGTCAGTATTGCTGATATTCTCGGCAATTATTACTTTACGTTTTTAATTAACACATAGAATGAGACAGTGGATTGAATACAAATCCCCCCAATGAAATTAAACGTGCCCTAGGATTACAGATGGTAAAACGTTCCATATAAACACATCACCGCACAACCCTCCTGCGTAGCTGTGTGATCAACTGACACCTCTATTTACCATAGGCTTCCTGCTCATCGAATTAAAACATTCGGGTCCCAAGTAAGCTATTAACAAATAAATATTTTTAGAGCTAAACAGATCTAAAACTAACGAAACTTTGCATAGGTCTGGCCCGAGGAGAGGTCAGAGCTGGGTTCCACGGCTAACCTGGCATCTTTTATCCCAGGAAAACACAGGATTACTCAGAGTCAGCTGAATCAAAAACGGTGTTGCTGTGGAGCGGTGGAGTCTGCAGGTCCCAGTACCTGCCCTATAGCCTCCACCTGGGCAAACACACACTTCTGCAAACACCATTAACTCCAGCTCAGCTGTCCCCTGTGTTCCAATGGAGAAAGGGCACTCCCCCAAGCAGGGCCCTGTTTACCCCCAGGGGGCTTTTTGCCCACACAGAAATACCACCAGGTGGAAATGGTGCTTTGCTCCATCCTCATCACTACAGCTGTGCTGGCAAAGGCACACGGAGATGTTCCTCAGGAGCGACGCGTTAGGAAATAAGCAAATAAAACAAGTGAGAGCCGAGTGGCTCGGAAGGATGAGAAGACAAAGGAATTAATCTAACAAAGTACGCCTTCTGCTTTTCTACATCTATCAAATCAGACTCCTATGATTTAAAATAGAATCATGGAATGGTCAGAGTTGGAAGGGACCTTAAAGATCCTGGGCAGAGACACCTCCCACCAGACCAGGTTGCTCCAAGCCCCATCCAGCCTGGCCTTGAACCCCTCCAGGGATGGGGCAGCCACAGCTTCTCTGGGCAACCTCTTCCAGTGTCTCACCACCCTCACAGCGAAGAATTTCTTTCTGGTATCTCATCTAAATCTCCCCTCTTCCAATTTAAAACCGTCACCCCTTGTCCTGTCACTGCACTTCCCTGACAAAGAAAAATCAGCTTTTACCATAACGTTTATAGGGAAATATTTAAGAAGGGAAACTGGCAAAGCATTATGTTGTCCCTCTGCCTTTCGGGGCCTCTTTTCCAGCCAGAAAAGGGAGGCGGATGCCCAGGCTGAGGGCTCCCCCTTTGGCCTGGCTTCCCGGCCCTGAGCTGCCGGGCTGCCCGCGGGCCCGGCCCCGCTCCGCCACCGCACACCGAGCCGCCCCTTCCAACTCTACCCGGCCGCAGGGAAGGGAAGGGAAAAGAAGAGAAAGGGAGTGAAGGGCGGCGGGCGGGACGGCTGGCCGGAGGGGCACACCACCGGCGGGGTGCCCGGGCAGAGGGAGGCCTGGCGCCGGGTTGGGGGAGCCCCGGCCCGGGGCGGCGGGGTTGAGGAGGTTTGGGGGGGCCCTTGCAGCGCGTCGTCCCCCCTCAAAACTCCGGTAGCCGGGGCCGCCCCCGGCCTCCCCTGAACCGCCGGAGGAGCGGGGGCGAGGAGCTCACCTCACCTCACCTGCAGCCCCGGCGGGAGAGAGCGCGATTCTTCCCGGCGCCCCGCACCGGCCTAGCTCCGCCGGCCTCCCTTCCCCCGGCCCCGGCGGGCCGCCATCTCCCCCCCACCTCCGTCCCTCGCCCGCCCCTTACCTCGTACTGCCGGGCAGGGCCGGGCCGAGGGCCGGGGAGGCTTTGTGCCCGCCGCGCAGCTCGGCCGGGCTGCGGCCGCCCCTCCCTTCACCCCGGGGCCGGTTCCCCCCCTCATGGGGCCGGGCGCCTGCGCCATGAGCCCGCCTCCCGGCCCTCCCTCCGCGGCTGCCGGCGGCTGCGAGGGGAGCGTCCCGCCGCCTTCTCCGCTCCCTCACGGAGGAAAGGGCCGGCACCGGGGGCGCCCCGGTGGGGAGGGAGCCGGGGTGGGTGAGCTCCAAGGTGCACGGCCCCGGGGGTTGAGGGGCTCCGCCAGCTGCGGGGGACGGTCGTGGCCTGCGACCCCCCCCCCGGGAGAAGAAGGGGGGGTTCCCCTCACCTTTCCGTCCTGCCGGCCGTGGGGTGCACCCCCGGTGTTGCTGCTTCTCGCTGACTTCCAGCTCACGAACCGGAGAAAACCGGAAAAAAACGGCAAGGGTGGATGCAGCTGGGATGCCGCGCATCCCCACAGTTCATCCCGAAGGATGCCGGCCCTCCGCCTGTCACAACTTTATTGGGTTTATTTCAGCGCTGGTTATTTCAATAACGAAACAACGAGGGGCAAGGGTTCTCCTTCCAGGCTGGCAGCTGCTCCTTCCCCCCCCCCAGTAAATAGAGAACCCATTAAAAATGCCCGCAGTCGGCATGTCAGGCGTGACTGGGAACACACTCAAAGGCACACACACTGGGGGAAAGACCTACCCAAAGCGGGTACAGCAATTCCGAAATTCAGACCGCTAAAATGAAAGGTGGAAGCCCACCTAGTTTTGAGGAAGTGGGATGAAGCAGTGGTTCTGTGTTTCTATGTCTTATTTCCAAGGTGCTGACATTTACATTAGTCCACGGCTTCCATGAAAGTAGCCGTGAATCTCCAGGCGTAAGAGACCTGGCTGGCTCATGGAGGGAACAGATTAATCCCTTTGAGCAGCTTCTGTTGCTGCGGCTTTCGTCTAATCTATAGCTGTCTCCTGACAGAGAGGTGTGAAACTTCTGTGGCGTGAGCTGGAGGCAGCAGAAGTAATTCTGCTTGTGCAATCCAGTTGTGAAAGCAGTGGAGAGCTCTGCAAGCTGTCTCAAGGGCCACCGAAACCTTTCTGCTCTACCTGCCATGCACGCCATGCAGCGCTTTGGCATTAAAACCCATTTATCACAAGGCACAATGTGATTGGCATTTCAGTTCTGCTGCCTCTGGAAGCTTGCTGACGTTTATTCAGGTAGCCTAGGAGATGGCACTGAAGTCCAGTTTTACAGTGCCTGGCTCTCGGCATAGCTGTCAGAGCCCTTGGCTACCCTTACAGAGAGGGGGGAGGCACCACTGCCCCCCAAAAAGCACCTGGGAGCAGTTCAGTAAGGTGCCTGCTGGCCACAGAGGAAACCAAAAGCAAACAGGAGGCAGTAAATGAGAGGCGAGTTAGGACATAGCCAGCTCTGCCAGACTGGAGCAGAACTGAGCTCTAAGGACCAGAGGAAATTTACTGGAAAAGACTGCTGTGCCTCTCAAGCACCTGGATAGCAAACTTTCTGTGAGCCAGCAATGTGCCCTTGTGGCCAAGAGGACCAATGGGATCCTGGGCTGCAGAGGGAAGAGTGTGGCCAGGAGGTGGAGGGAGGTCATTCTCCCCCTCTGCTCTGCACTGGGGAGGCCACAACTGGAATCCTGTGTCCAGTTCTGGGCTCCCCAGTTCAAGAGGGACAGGGAACTGCTGGAGAGAGTCCAGTGTAGGGCAACAGAGATGATGGAGGGATTGGAGCATCTCCCTGATGAGGAAAGGCTGAGAGAGCTGGAGCTCTTGAGCCTGGAGAAGAGAAGGCTGAGGGGAGACCTTATTCATGCTGACAAGGATCTAAAGGGTGGGTTGAGGGAGGATGGAGCTGGACTCTTTTCAGTGGTTCCCAGGGACAGGACGAGGGGCAACGGGCACAAGCTGGACCATGGGAAGTTCCACTCCAATCTGAGGAAGAACTTCTTTGGGGTGAGGGTGGCAGAGCCCTGGCAGAGGCTGCCCAGGGAGGGTGTGGAGTCCCCTTCTCTGGAGATCTTCAAGCCCCGCCTGGATGCTCCTGAGTGATGTGCTCTGGGCAACCCTGTTTTGGCAGGGGAGTTGGACTGGAGGATCTCTAGAAGGTCCCTTCCAACTCCAACAATTCCGTGATTCCGTGATAGCTGAGATACCGGGTGAAGTTTCATGGCTTGTGTTTCTTATTTATCCCTGATTGAAATTCCCCTCAGTCCAGCTCTGAGCACAGGCTTGGCATCATTTTCTGTACATACAGTAAGCCAGCAGAAAAGAAGATCTTTTTCCAAGCCCTGGATGGCTGGGCTATATTTTGTCATCATATGGGTTTGGGGCAGAGATCAATGTGTAGGCAGAAGGCTTTAAGCATTGGTGGGATGGCATTGGGCCTTCCAATATCTGAAGGGAGCTCCAGGAGAGCTGGGGAGGGACTCTTTGTCAGGAAGTGCAGTGACAGGACAAGGGGGAACGGTTTTAAATTGGAAGAGGGGAGATTTAGATGAGATACCAGCAAGAAATTCTTCCCTGTGAGGGTGGTGAGGCACTGGAAGCGGTTGCCCAGAGAAGCTGTGGCTGCCCCATCCCTGGAGGGGTTCAAGGCCAGGCTGGATGGGGCTTTGAGCAATCTGGTCTGGTGGAACTCGATGATCTTTAAGGTCCCTTCCCACTCTAACCATTCTGTGATTCTGTGACCTAGAGGACTCGACTAGTCTGGACAAGAAATGGCACCCCCAAGCCACTGCATTGCTGTGTTATACACCCCAGTGAGGTGAGGGAGACTTTCCCATATAATTTAGTTTTGACTAGGCCTGGGCAGTATCTACTTTAGCTCTAAAAATCAAAACACCCATTTCTTATTTCCATTGCAAGTACAGAGGAAAACACTGTTTTTGGAATCCCCGGCATCTTGAGTAGATACCCAGGGGATAGGAAATGGACTGGCTTATCTGTTGTCCCACGCTGGCAACTGCAGCAAGCAGCAGCAACTACTAATTTTTCAGCTGGCTCCTCTTGTGGGAGCCAAGATTCCGACACCGAGAGACTTCCCTCTTCCACTGGCTCCTATCCTAGAAGCTTGCCACATCGCCGGGAGCTCTGCAGGAGGGAGAAGAGAAAGAAACTGCAGCACTTCTGGTTTTTTACAGCAAAGGCAGATGAGTCCCTGGGGTCTACCTCCTGTGTGCTGAACCTGTTGTGGCTGCACCTGGGGGAGACCTGCGTGGTCTCCCAGCCCATGGAGGTGCATCCACACCAGCCCTCCAGAGCCTGGTCACGTTCACTGATGACTTCAGAGTGATCTTTTCTTGCCTTAAAACACAACGTGTGTTTCAGTTCATAGCACGTGACAGCGATTACTTCAGTACATTCAAAATCTTATCCCTTGGCAGCATCGTGCGTGTTACAGTTTGGGCTGTTAAGTGGGATTTCTTGTTCTGATTTGCAAAACAACACTGGCGCTCAGCTGGGTTTTGTAACGGAGGAGGAGGGGGAAGAGGATCCAACTGCACGAGGGAGGCACAGCAAAAACTGCTTGAGAGCAAACCAGACCTAGTTGTTTTAATTTTCCTAATGACTTTCTCATACAGCAAGCAGAGGGGAGGTATATACTTACACACCTGGAACACACACCAAACAAACCCACAAACCAACAAGTGAACAAAAGCCATAGAACTGAGCCAACTAGTTTTTCTGCAAGCTGTAGCGAGGCTGGTATCGCCACCCTGAGTTGTTCTGGGCTCAGGCATGACCTGCCTTGTACAGGGAGGCAGAATCTCTCCTTGTTCCACCTCTTCGTTTCCCAGATCTGGAGGATACTTCACCATCACCAAAATTTCGGTGTCATGGAGAGAACTTCCTAGTTGAGGATTCACTAGTGCCGAGGTAGACAGCCATCCTGACCCTATATAGCCATATAGTCCAAAACTCCATACGGCCAGAAGCCATAGGAGAGACATCATGAACATCAACAAGCCATGTGGAATGAGAGTGCCAGGAAAAGTGGCAGGCAGTTGGGAACTTCTCCCCAGGGCTGTGAGGCAGAGCTGGTGCAGATGTGCAGCTGGATCCCGGGCCAGGGCAACCACACTTCTCCTTCCCACCTCTGGGTGAATGGAGTTAAAGCCAGTTGGCGTTCGGTGACAAGTGGTGTTCCCCAGGGTTCGGTATTGGGGCCAGTTCTGTTTAATATCTTTATTAATGATCTGGATGAGGGGATTGAGAGCACCCTCAGTAAGGTTGCAGATGACACCAAGTTGTGCAGGAGTATTGATAAGCTTGAGGGTAGGGTGGCTCTACAGAGGGACCTGGACAGGCTGGATGGATGGGCCGAGGCCAATGGGATGAGGCTCAACAAGGCCAAGTGCCCGGTCCTGCCCTTGGGTCACACCAACCCCCTGCAGCGCTCCAGGCTGGGGGCAGAGGGGCTGGAGCTGCCGGGCAGAAAAGGACCTGGGGGTGTTGGTCGACTGTCGGCTGAACAGGAGCCAGCAGTGTGCCCGGGTGGCCAAGAAGGCCACCAGCATCCTGGCCTGTGTCAGGAACAGGGTGGCCAGCAGGACTAGGGCAGTGATCACCCCCCTGTACTGGGCACTGGTGAGGCCCCACCTCGAGGGCTGTGTCCAGTTTTGGGCCCCTCACCACAAAAAAGACATTGAGGGGCTGGAGCGGGTCCAGAGAAGGGCAACGGAGTTGGTGAGGGGTCTGGAGCACAAGTCTCATGAGGAGAGGTTAAGGGAGCTGGGGGTGTTCAGCCTGGAGAAAAGGAGGCTGAGGGGAGACCTTATTGCTCTCTCCAACTCCCTGAAAGGAGGGTGTAGCTGGGGGGGATCGGTCTCTTCTCCCAAGGAACAGGCAACAGGACAAGAGAAAATGGCCTCCAGTTGTGCCAGGGGAGGTTCAGGTTGGCTGTTATTGTAATAATTTTTTTATTACACTGAAAGGGTTACCAAACATTGGAACAGGCTGCCCAGGGAAGTGGTTGAGTCACCATCCCTGGAGGTATTTAAAAGACATGTATATATGGTGTTCAAGGACATGGTTTAGTGGTGGACTCGG